GTTGCAAAAAATAGGAAACGGAGTTAGTATTTTGGATACATGAAACATTGCCAACTAAAATTGGTATATAAAGCAACATCAACTTTAATATTAAGTGCTTAAGACAATAGGATATGTATCATGAGATATTGTATAACTATAGATTTTGCATCATCCCCACCTATCCAACCACCCTTCAAGAAGACAAACATTTTATTCCAACCTGACTCTCCACAAATGCATTTCTAATTCGAATATATACAAATTAAGATTCAATAGAATTAACACCGATAGTGTCATTCTGCATATCAAATTTTATAATTAATAGTTGGTGTTGCCTTATACATTCGCTTTAGTTGTTGTTGCTCCTTAAATTATTACACCCTAACTATTGTTGTGTGACTTGTGTCATTTTTACTAGATTATGACATTTAAGTATTAAACTATCCAATTTAAACTAGACATAAGCAGGCAAAAAAATTACTTTATTTGTTTCTGTTTTTTTAGTTGATATAAAGTAATATTTTTATGTTCATGCCTATCAATGGTTAACATGATCGTTGTTATTCGTTAATTACTAAAAATGTATTGTAATAAAACTAAGGAAAAATTGGTAAAAATAATCTCAACTTTTAAGTATTCGTTTTAAATAATCCCAACTATGGATTAATTTTAAATAATCTCAACTTTAGGGTGTTTTCGGTTTCTTTGTTTCCCAACCGGTTACTAACAGCTTTTTGGGATACGTCATACGTGGCATCACGTGATTAGTTAATTTTTGTAAAAAAAAGTTTAAAATAATAATATTTAAAAAAAATTGAAAAAAAAAAGAAAAAACTAAAAAAAAAACTGCCCAGCATCGTCCACCCACAAACCACCTTCCCCAACACCACTGCGACGGCCAGAACACTCTTCCCCACCCACGCGTCGGCCAGAACTCCTCCTCCGCGCCGGTCAGCTCCCCGGCCCTTCAATTCCAGGCGCCCCTTCCCCCAAAACCACAAAACTCGCCCACCTTAAACCCCCGAATTCCCTAAAAACATCCCCGCCGGCGAAACCACCTTGTAGCAGCCCCGCAAAAAACTACAGCCGCCCAACCCCCGACAGCTCAGTAGCAATTGCGTCCAAATCGCCACCACAAGAAGCCTGCCTCACCGCGGTGGATGTCGGTCGGAAATCTTAGTTGGTGGTGGGGATTTGACTGGTTTTTTTTTTTTTTTAACATTTCAACGAATCATACCACGTGTCACTTAAATTTTTCTTTTTTAAAAAAAAATTCCTCTTTAATAGGTTACCGGTCACTTGGGACCATTTTGAGCGAATACACCCCAAAGTTGGAATTATCTAAAACGAATACGTAAAAATTGGGATTATTGTTATCAATTTTTCCTAAAACTAATGACATGTTATTTTGATAGCACCTATATTTTGAGATCTATCTTATAAGATTACTCTTGTTACGTATTTGTTATTAAGAATAAATCACCAAATATAATCAATATATAGTATGCAAATAGTGTAGAAATGATAGAATCATAAATTAAAAGTTTCAAACATACGCTACTAAAAAGCAAAGGAAGTATTATACTACATATTGTGGATCTTTTTACAATAACTATCCCTCTTTTTTTCAACTGAGCAATAAGACTCCCAAAAGTTACTACGTATCTATTTCTATTGCTTAAAACAACGTACGTATTGCAAATGAACTAGAGAGTATAAAAATTAGTATTAGATTACCACTTAGATCCTCTATTTGCTTCTGCTTTGCAAAACATCTAGAATTTTATTCAGATATTTGAACAATACACATTACGACGAACCTATTAAGATCCCTCAACTGACATACAACCAATTAAATCAAACTATAAAATAAATACGTATCAAAAACTTAGACCTTAAATAACTCAGAATATAACATTTTATATTAATTTAAGTTTAAGTTTAAGAGAACATAGATTAAGGGTCCGCTCTGTTCACCTTATTCTACTTATTTTAGGTGTAATAAGTGCAGATAAGTTCAGTTCAGGAAAAATAAGTTCTAATAAGGGTTACCCAAGTACAAATTACAACTAAAATAAGTTTTAATAAGATCTAATAAGTTCGGATAAGTTCAAATTAGATAAAATAAGTTCAGATAAGTAAAAATCAGGTGAATAGAACATACCATTAGTCATTGTCCTTGACGTATGCGATTGACATGACATATCAGCTTCAATTGCCTTCAATTTGGCAAAAGAAATTTCAATGAAGAAAGATAAGAAATAGCATGATAAGTGTGATTCTAGTCAAAAGGTGATACAAATTCCTTTTGCTGAAATAATGCGTAATGCCCTGAGCTATTATAATTGTGTTTTTCTTCCGTTATTTTAGCTTCACTTTTCTTCCCCTGATATTCGTCATAATATATAGTCTCAAGTTTCATAATATTGTACTTATAATACGTATACACTCATACAAATTATTTACTTATGTCCAATGTAACTATTTCTATTTATCAAAATATTTACGTACACCTAAAACATATATTTACAAAGTCCAATGTAATTATTTCCATTTATCAAAATATTTACGTACACCCAAAACATATATTTACCTAGTCCAAAAACAAATAGGAAATTTCTAACTAATCTTCTCTCAAAACATTTTTCTTACCCGCAAAATTTTGTAAGCATAACTATAGATTACGAACAGAGTGAGTAATAAGATTTGAATCATTTGATATTGAATGATCTCAACACATACAAATATGTATATATGCTGGCTTTATAAGATGTCATGCTCAAAGTATTTAATGTGTAAGGTTCATGACAATTTTAACAAACCATTTACTTTAATAAAAGTTCTTAGGGTGCTATTAGGATTATAGCACGTGTATCCATTTGTATGTATTAGTGTATTACCTAAAATCGGAAAAAGGTTGAAGAAAATATCACTCCCTATTTTAAATCAGGAAAAATATGTTTTAATAACTTTAAAATTATAAGAAAATCCTTATCCGTAAAAATCACCAACTGTATGGAACAAAAAAAAAAAAAAGAGAATAAATAATATGTTTCGATCTACATTAATAATCCACTCAAAAAAGTAAAAGGACTTTTAACGGGCCTTGACCCACCCCAGCCCACTATTAGGTCACATAATCCCAGCCCAGCATGGACCCGTTTGCATAGACCCGGGCCCAGCCCACTACATTAATAACAACCATGAAACCAGTACAAGTACTTGATTCAAACTTTCGGCTGGTTACAGGCGCCATGCGTACAGCCGTTACAGCAAATGAAACTTCTAACAAAGGAAAAAAAAAAAACTCAATGGTGGCAAGCTAGTTTTAACTTTTGTACGGAAATAAAATAGATGGGGTTGAAACTAGAGCGGGCAAACAGGTCGGGTTGGGTTGGGTTCGGGTCAACCTGTTTAATAAACAGGTCAGGACCCCCCAACCTGAACCCGACCTGTTTACTTAAACAGGTCAGAATGACGAACCTAAACCCGACTTGGTTTAAACGGGTTGACCTGATTTCAACTCGTTTGACCTGTTTTTTTTTAAAAAAAAATAAAAACCTGATTATTCTTATAATATAATGATAAAAAAAAAGTCGTATATTTAACTTGTTATTTTGCATAAAACTTTGCTGTATAAACCTATCAATTTAAGCATAATAAAAATACATTCAAGTAAAACTAACCATAGTTTACATATAATAATTTACAGTACAATCCAAAATCAAAATCAATGTCTTAAGGAGGCAATATTCCCAACAAAATAAAAATTAGATCTTGGAAAACTTCATCAGGTTTGACTAGTTGCTAGTCTTGCTACTGACTTTGAGGTGCGCTCTCAAATGGGCTTGGTGTATTGGCTTCATCATTCACCTTCATTATAAACAAAGAGCATAACATAAAATCCTGATCAACTTGTAAAATGCAAAAAATAATCTCATAAAAATGAAAAAACAAAGTAACAAATGCATGCATAGAAATATAAATGAAGAAAAAAAGCAACATAATCAGATTATTCACCAATTTATCCAAAACAAAGCATCATAAATCGAAAAAAAAAACCCCAAACACAGCCGAAACTTCTTTATTTTTCATATTATTCACCAAATTAGAAAGTCTCAATCAACATTTCTTAACAACACTACAACAGATAATTGTAAGTAGAATGAAATGCATGACTATATTACCTTAGTAGGCGAAAAATTTGAAGATAAACAAGTTTGAAGTTGCAATTTTAATAAACAAGCTAGATAGAGAAAGAAGAGAGAGGTGAGAGAATAAGATGGGAAAATAGAGATGAAAACGGCTGAACAAGTGGGAAAATGACTAGAAAAAAAAAATAGGGTTTTCACTTTTTGGGTTTTTTGTACTCTATAGGCTTTGACATAGGTTGGGCTTTGTCCAAATAAAAATACTAAGGCCTAATATCATTTTACTAATATAGGGTTATATGGGTTGGGTTCGGGTTGACCCGACCTGAAACCAACCTAATTAGTTAAACGGGTTTAGGCGGGTTATTTTCGGGTCAAAATTGTCAACCTGAACTTGACCCATTTAATTTCGGGTTGGGTTCAGGTCGACCCAATTACATAAACGGGTTGAAAACTTTGCTCATACCCCATTTATTTTGGGTTGGGTTCGGGTCGGGTTGTCGGGTCAGGTCAGCTTTTGCCAGCTCTAGTTGAAACATACCATTAGTAAAAACTCCATAACATTTACCATTGATAACTATAATCATTAAGCAATGTGATAACAGATTTACAGAGTAAATTAATATATCTTTTATACTCCGTATTTCAAATTCAAGTCAACATTGGTAAATAGTTAAATAGTTACTCCGTAATCTTGGAAAAGTATTGACAACTCTTCTATAGGGGCATAGCTCACAAGGTGAGAAGGTAAAATACATTGATTAATGATTAAGTGCAATTAATCAAATAAATAATTGATTTAGGGAGTAACATTTTTATTCATGTCGATAGATTACAACTAAATACAATAGCAAGAGTTAAACTCAATACAAAAACTGACTCAACCCCATTTATTGAAAGGGGAAAAAAAATGGAGTCTTGATTATATTTCATTACTTTTGATCAAAGTTCACCATACATAGTTAAAATATAGAAAGGGTGAAAATTAACAAAAGGAAAGGGAAGATATTCAAGGGAGTATAAATAATTTAGAATTTTGACTACAATAACTAATAACTACAATTTTTTTTGGGAGGGAAAAATATTGACTATAATTATATATACCAATAAAAAGGCACTTCCTCTTGTGATTCACTGTTTTTGTCTTTCTTTCTAATTTCTTTCCAAAAGAGAATTGATTGATATCTACTACTCTATGTCCCCAGTAAATAAATAAAGAAAAAAAAATAAAGTAAAAAAAAGAAAAAAGAATTTCCCTCTTGATCATAATCTTTTTCCACCCCCTCATTTTTTTTTACCTCATTGAGGTACTCTACAACAAAAAATAACATAACATCTGTATTTCCAAGAAGTAACTTTTTCTTTTTTTTTACCATGTTCATCATCATCATCAGTTCATCACCATGACTCTTGCATGAATCCTCTTCAATTTCTGAGTTTCCAACCTTGATTAGCAATTGCATCAGTCTTTCTCTCTCTAAAAAGTACACTCTTTTTCTCTCTAACTTTTGTTTGTCTCATTTGGTATGTGGGCTTTGAAGATGGGCCTTTGTATCTATGTTTTATTTTAAGGGGTGGCCCACCTCTAAAGGACCACACCAAAGCTCTCATTCAACCAAAAACTGATGCACAAACCAAAAATCTTGTCATAAATTTCTAAAAAAATAATTTTAAAATTATAAAAATTATCCCCAAAATCAGATTATGATGATGATTAAGAGTCCAACTTAGGTGATGATGATGATGTGTCTATTTTTTTCCTTTTAATTCCAGTAATTTGAGAAGAATTTGCACATGACCCAACAGCAACAACTGTAGTTGTAGTTGTAGTTGTTGATGTTGTTGTTAATTCATCACTTTTATAGCTAAAACATCCTGCTTCCAACACCCCAATTGGACTTTGAGGCACCACCACCACCCCTACATTCTCATTCCGGTTATTCATCGTGTTTTCCTTGATCATATCCACACACCGTTTCACCCTTCCCTGCACAGCATCAAACACGACACCAACTCAATTAGTTGTCACATTGTCCTACCAATACACGAATTCAATTTCCATCACATAAGGTTACACCCGATGTTACACGAAGTTTATTTTTAGACACATTGGTGACCACGAAGTTTATTTTAGACACATTGGTGGCCGAATGATAGACGAAGTTAAATATTCGACACATAGGTGGCCGAATGATGGATGAAGTTAGTTCAATTTTCGACACATTGGTGACCGAATGATGAGTAAATTATCCGTCACCTAGGCGAACCAATTATCAACGAGGTTAATTTACGGGCATTAATTACAAGGATTTGCAACGTATGGTTGAATGTATAAACTTGAATTTTTTTACCTTGTCCAAATGAATGAAACAAGAACAAGCCTTGTCAATATCCAACGATTGGATTTCAGCAGTAACAGAAATGGCAACAGCTGCTGCAATCTCTGAAGGCTTGAATTCCAAGAAGTCAATACCTGCATTTAATTTCCACAACCATATATCATACACCTAAATAAATTGGATACAACAGTATAAATTCTTAAAATTGAACCAATTCATTTATAAAAATACAAACTTTATATAAATATCATCAATCAACCAATGTATTAGTACTAGATATTTAGATTAATACCTCTAATAATGCTAGAAATGAGCTGCATTGATCTATTCACCACATTACTAGAAGAAGACAGGTAAAAATTATCATTATGATAATCACATAATTTCTTGAGTGAATAATCTATGAAAGAACATGGTGTCACAGCATTCATTTTCCAGTTTAATGTATCCAACACCATTAGCTCCATTCTTTTTATAGTTTTTGCTTCAAACACAAATTTTGGATCTTCAACCTGCCCCAAAAAATTTTAAAAAAAATTAATTTTTTTATTTCTGTAAAAATTGGCATAATAAGAAATAAATTAAGGTTAATTAAGGATTAATTACCTGAAATTCCACAGATTGAGGAACACTAGTTTCTTCTAATTTGGCTGCAATTGATAAACAGGCCACAGCTAGTAATTGCACTGCCCATGCTTTACCACTCTAGTAATAATTATAAGACATGATCATATGTTATTAATTATTTACATAATCATTACAATAATAAAACATGAATTAAAGATCATCACTTTATAATCCAACAAATTAAAATTAAAAAGAAATAAATGTGTAATCTTTTTCATTTATTTGGATTGAGTAAGAGTAAACTCACGGGTAATTCTCTTGTTGATAAGAATCTGTCCAAATAATTCACAGCTAAGCAAAAACTCAATGGTCCAAAACTGTAGTAAGAATGCGCCTGCACAAAATTAGAAAATAAAAATCAAAACTTTTACAATTTTAATAAATTTATATTTTAAAAGAAAATCAATAAAACCCAGAAAAACCCATCTCCAAAAAAATCAATATCCAATCAAATATATCCCAATTTTTATGAAAAAAAATTGCAAAAAAATTAGAAAAAAATGAAACCTTAAAAATCCAATCAAAAGCGTCAGTTCGAGCAGCAAAGTTTAAATCCCCAAATCGGAATCTGAAGAGATAATCTTCTCTGGGAAAGTAACAACTTTCTCTTTCCACCATGGAAGCAAAAGCTTCATCATCATCAATACTCTGTTCTTCAGGGGAAACAATCAACGGCTGAGATTTACTGAGTTGACGATGATGATGATGATGGTTGATGAAGATTTCTGAGGATTGACGATCGAAATCAACGGGCCCACTAGAAGAATCATCAAGATCATCATCAAAGAAGAAATCTTTACTCTCATCACACAGAAAAATGTCGGCCATTTTTATAAGATGATGATAAAAACTCTAAAAACAGAGAGTTTTGGTATAAGAGGGGAAAACCCAGATTGAGTTTTGATCAAGTTAGAGTTATTCATGGAAAGAAAACAACAATGGCGGCCATTGATTTGGGGAAAGATCGAAGCTTTTTTAGAGAGAGAAAGAAAGGGTATGGTGGGGTTTTAGAGAGAGAAAGGAGTGAAGAGAAGAAGAAGAGGAGTGAAGGAAGAGAGAGAAAGTGAGGAGGTTTATGTAGGAAATGAACATGAGTGAGGGGGGTAAGGGGGGTGGGTGTTTTTAGGGTAAAATCAGAGAGAGATTGGGGGAGAGAAAGAAAAGCTGTGGACTCTTCGGATTTAGCAACCAAAAATTAAAAAAGGGCAAGAAAATTAGGAAGAAATGAAATGAAAAAGAAAAGTAGTGGAATGTTATATGACCATGAAATTTATTTATTTATTTTTAAATCTTGGTTATGTAAGAAAGAAACCCAATTGTTGAATTTAGTTTTTTTTCTCTTTTTTTAAAGAATGAATTTAAAAAAAATGTTGGAAATGAAATACATCGAGAATTAAGAGTATTTTCGACCATTATTAATTAGAGTATTCATATACAAAGTACTCTGTATTATATAGAGATATATATAGTGGTTATTGCTTGTCAATTGTTAAATTAAGTTGTCGTGATTTAGCTTTAATGGGAAGTAGGGTGACATATTGTGGGCTTGAAATGATTTAGTTTTTATTGTTGTATATAAATATACACCAACTCTCTAGTGTTTATTTTTCTACTTCTATGTGAGATGTCGTTTATGGTTTATTGAACATATTTATAACTGTTAAAATTATTATTTATATGAGATGTTATTAAGAACTCAATATTGAGCATATGAGTATATGACATCTCATATTGAGTATACACCAACATTATTTGGTTTGTTACTCCAAATTAATATTTTGAAAAGGTGAAACTCTTTAGATCTTTCAAGATTTGTTGACTCGATATTCCCTCTTAATACACTGCTTTGGAAGAAAGAAAAAGGGTCAAGTAAGATTATGAAATTCAACTCTGAAACACTACAAGAAATTAGCAATTTTGCGACAACCAAAATTTGTTATGGTATTGGCATAATAAATGATGTACTGGCATAGTATATAGTGTCACAAGTATTATGTATATAAGATTTACAGTTTTCATAATTTAAGTACAGAATCCTGTGAAGGTAAGATAGTAAAACATAACTTCTTGACTAATCTTAAATTGTCTATTCAATTTTTCAATATAATAAACTAGAGATCCCTTATTTATAAGAACATTGAATTAAGTATAACCTTTTTCTCTAGGCGATATGTATTTTTTTTTTTTAATTAGTTATCATGGGTCCTACTATTGCAATCAAATTTCAACATTTATATATCTAATAAGGCAATCTAATTATCAACATTATAGTTGCTAGCTATTTGTATTAGCTGGTTTGACTACATATTTGTAGTAGACTAATAGATAGTTTGACTCATTGTTGAATTATTTGTTTGTATAAAAAAATTTGGTTAATAGTTATTAATTGATAACTATTTTATTGTGTCGAATGACCAGTAAGAATGTATGCATAATTCATTATTATCCATATTAACTTGGTAAAGGGTGGTAATAATAACTACTTTTGGACAAATATAAAGGGGAATTGACATTTTTCTCAACTTTATTTCACAAAAATTGTAAATATTTTCACAAATACAAAAATTGTAAAGAATTTTTAATCTAGTAAGCTTATTCTATAGACCTTATAAATATTACATTTGGTAAACTACATTTTAATCAACAAAAAATGAAGTTAAATAAATAAAAATAGTTGTCAAATTGTCACCACTAAAATTAGTAACGTCATAAATTAATACAATAGAATAAAAAATAATAATAATAAAAATAAAGTAGCCTTAGCTTAAATTCCTTTGCTCTCTGCACTTGATATTCACTAAATTCAAATTATACTGAACAAATATTAATTTTAATAAATTTAAATTATTTTTGCTGAATTTGAATTAATTTTATTGATTTTAATTATTTATATTGATTAAAACTATTTTTTAATTAATTGATTCTTTGACCCATTATATTTATTATTTGAATTTATTAATTCTTATTTACAGTAAACATAAGTTTTTTTTATTAATATAATATTTTTTTTTTTACTTGAACTCATCTTATTTTATTGAATCTTTATTAAGGTGATTATAACATGACTATGCATTATAAAAATCAAACCAAGTCTTCATTAATTATTACTGTATAATTATAGAAAAATGGAATAATTAAAGCAATTTTGCTACTACTCCTTTGTTCCAAAATTAGTGCTTCATTTTGGCTTTTACATTATTCACATACGCCACTTTGACATTTGTTCTTACTATATGCTTAATTAATATTAAAAATAGAAAATGTTATACATATCCCTCATGACTACATGTAAGGAGCTTAAAATAAAATAAATAAATAAATAAATAAATGAAAAAATAACACTAGTTACACTGATTTGTGCGTAATTTTATCATGCATTCCTAAATCAATACCAAATTAGAAATGATATTAAATGTTTATTCTTAGCCCTAGGGGCTACATATAACATTACCCCAAAAATAATAATGTGTCTATTTGTTAGAATGTCTCAATGTATAGTTTAGGAATATCAACTTTTTATAATTTATAATTAAAAAAATTATAAGTCAAGGTAGGGTATTTATTTTACAATAGATGGAATACAAGATTTGCAAATTAGTTTCGCAAAAAAACTCTAATCGCTTTCTCTCTAGGGTTCATAAAATCTTTCGAGGGTAGTGAGTTCCTTATGGTGGAATTGGTTGAGTGAATTCAGTCTAGTATAAGTAGAGTGATGTGAATTTAGTTCGTTGGCAAGAATTATATTGCATCGATCGGAGTAATTATCAATTTTTCAATTCCAATAAGATATATTCGGTGAAAAATCATTGTGGCTACAACAAATCGCTTGATTTTTCTCCAAAAAGGTTGTGTATTTCATCGATACTTAGGAGGGTATCTCACAGTGCAAAGTCTCACCAACATTTGTATTCCGTATTATGATACAGGAATACCCTTTATTTGATCCAATTCGTTATGTGTATTTATTAAATTCGATTTTTTTTACATGTTGTATGATTTTCTATTAATAACTAAATTTATTATTAAAAAAAAGGAGAGTGAGAGTAGATTAAATATTTGATTTTTTTTTTTTTAAAAAAAAACTAATATTAAAATCAAACTTCTTAATTTCTTTTATTTCCACAAATCAAATCAATTTTCTTAATTTTTTTCCTTTCAAGTATATTATTATCTTGTTATTTCTTGCCAAATGAGTTGAGATCTTTACCTGTGAACAGCACAATCACATTAGCATATTACAAAAATTCAAAGTATAATTGGTGTCTTAAATTAGCTAATTGACACCTAGCCTTTATTATACATTGTTAAATTGTGTTCCCATTCTAATTTTTTTTTTTTTTTTTTTTTTTTTTTTTTGGTGCTCAAGTTCCCATTCTAATATGTATACTAGTGGTTTACTGGTTATATGCAATTATGCATAGCCATACTTTTTTTTAAAATAAAAAGAAAGAAAAACAAAAAAGATATGTATTGAACAACCTTCAAATACCTTAAATAAAATACAATAGACACGCCAATAACAACTTTTTACAAAAAACTATGCGACATTTTAGTGTATGGACTATGGAATACTCCGTACAATTTATATTTGGTGTAGACAGAAATACGGTATAAAAGACAATGCTAGTAATCAATAATATTCATACTAATAACATAATACTAAAACAGCACCAAGAATGACACGTGTCACTTAGCTTTTTGGTGCTGTTTATTTTCTTCTAAAACTTTTTTTATTTTTTTATTTTTTTTATCCACTTCCTTCCAAAAAACATTCACTTCCTTATATAATTGTGATTCACTTTCTTAAAAACATATTCACTAAATCATGTAATTGTGATTCACTTTCTAAAAAAAAATTCACATATTTTTCATATCTTTTATTGTATAAGATATTATATCAAGAAAAAAATAATTTGAATGTAATGGAATCTTTCACTCCCAAATTCAGCCTAACTATTATTAAGTAATAATTAACCATACATTATTATTATTAACAAAATCATAATTTAAAATTTAAATATATACATAAGACGTATGGGTACAACTTAAAATTTCTATTGAAATAATGTATAGAATATGAATGCCTTATTGTATACTCCCTCTGTTCTTTTTTTTTTTTTTTTTTTTTATTTATAAAATGCATTAGTTCGACAACCGACACATTTAAGACGTAATTTTGACCATTAATATATTTAATTGTTTATTAGTAAAATTTGTAATAAAATTATATTATGAAAGTAGACATTGTGACGAATCTCAACGATATATCATATAATAACCTTATATATTTTATAATAGCAAAAAACTTAAGTCAAACATGACATGTGAATAGTGCAAAAGTCAAACTGATGCATTTAAAAAAAAAACGGAGGGAGTATTTTATAAAGAGAAAAAAAATTATATAAAAAAATAAATAAATAAACTTCATATTATTATAAATCTTTATAATATTTGGTAAAATCGTGCGTTGCACGGGATTTAAGCTAGTTTGATCAATAATAATCATTTGAATTGAGTGAAACATAAATAAGAAAAACATGTTCCTATTTAATAAAAGCTAACGAACGCACCGGGGGCGTTGGATAAGCTAACTTAAAGTAAAAATATTAAATTAAAATTAACATTAATTACACCGATCGACACATAATTTTGGCTTGCATTCTCAAATTAATACTACTTTAGAAAATATTTTATCTAACGCCCCGAAGATGTTCGTTAGCAAGTTCCTTATATAAATTCGAAAACATAACAACCATAAACAGAAATTACCCTGCTTAGGTGTCAAAGAATAAAGACGTTGTAGCTTATAGTAGTACTTAATATGAATGTATAATAATCAATATACAATGTAAATACAAATCGTGATGTGCATTGTCTCTAATATTATTTACTCTTCTCTTTCTAATCTTAGGAGATGTCAAATCAAAATCACATAAACAAAGTAAGAATCATGATATATAACAATTATATTTAAGAAGGCCATCATGTCAATTTCAAATTAACGGTGCAATTATTTGTGGTGCAGAGAATTAAATTGGTTGGATTAAATCTGAAATCTTCATTTCATATTCTCTTTTCAATTTATGGATTTTCTTAATGTTTAGGAAAAGGTTTTAAATTTAATGAATGTACAATAAACGTTGCGCTGCGAGATTTGTCACAACATTTTGTTGTATGTAATAAAAGGGACTGTTCAATGAGGATGGGTCAATGATGCAAGCATAAGCATACTAATGATGCAATTGTGAATTATGAAGAGTGGATTGCTATTCGCCGCACAAAATTACTTATAAACCGCTTGAATTATTGACACTTTCGCCTCTTTTCATATGTTTTTTTCTTCTCCTCAATCCACCACATAATCAACCCACCTGAACGCTGCCTCCACCCCACAACAACCGCCATCCTA